CGGGTTGGTGATTCCACTCTGACATTACACAATTCCTAAAAAAGTGAGTTGGCATAAATTGAACTAACAAAACAAAGGAGAGTCATGCTTCAAGGAAGCAGGAGGTATTCTCTCTCCCCTGTTGGTTATCCCAGACTCCTTGCAAAGAAAGAATCTTGCTTTAAAAAATGTCATGGATCCCAGTGAATGCCAGTGAGACTCAAGCGAGCTATTCATGCTGCCAGTTGATTTAGGCACGCCTCGCTACACACCAATCAGCCCGGCCCCCGGCCTCAGCAGCCACTCACTTGTCTGTCTTTCCAACACAAGATGGAGACAGTGCCAAAAGTTCCAATTAAAATATCCGTTTGTGATGTCTGTGCCGTAGAAAAAAGAACAAAAAAAAAAAAGAGAGAGGAAAAAGTAGCAGGCTGTTTTCGATAGCGTAGGAGAAAATACAACAAAAGCTGCCAAAATTCTGTGGACAAGCCACATACTTAAGAGTTTTCTGTCTACACAAACTAAATAAGCGTGGGGAGTGTGTATGTAAGCAGAATGTGCACGACAAAGAGAGACAGACAGAGCGTGTGCGTGCATGGGAGTGGGAGCGTCTTGTTATGGAGGAACAGAGCATGTTGCAGATAAGAGGCCGATGCTGTTCAAAGAAAAAGGCAGGCCGGTAAAGTGCAAGCCGATTCGACATCACTGCCTTACTGTCCCTTAATGAGTCTGGAGAGGGAGTCTGGTGTCCGCTGAATCTGCTCCTGTCTCGCTCCAATCACACGGCCGGGCTTTTTATTCAAATCTCAAACCCAACTGTCACACAGCCAGTCTGGCCGTGCTGTTTATCTTACTGCAGGAGGATGTTAACAAGACAAATGAATGAATAAATACACAAATAATGCGTTTAGGTAAAGTTAATAATGTATGAAATAGAAGCTGCTTCTTGACAGTAGCACAGCACTCAGGATTCTTCCCAACTTTGGTGACAGGCTTGTTTATTCATTTCCCAGCATGCAATTCTCTGAATTATTTCCAAAGCAATGTCTGGCCGAGTACTGAGAATCAGCAGCACATCTACCTGATGAGGAAAGAGCGGTGTGACACATTACTTTAGACTTTTCTCGACTGAAAAAAGAACAACAGCTCGTAAAGTGCAAACATTGAGCCAAGTCTCCCTTCATCCAAACCCTTGAGTATGATGATCCTCCTTAATCTCATGGAATCCAGGTCCCCTTCTCACCCCATCTCACTTCCC